AAAAAAAAAAAAAAAAAAAAAGAATATGGGCCAAGCATGCAGATCTTGAATTATTATGCAAGCAATAATAGGCGAAGTTATGACTATGAAGTTGACGCATTACTTGAACCACTAGGATAAAAATAATGAGAGTTAAACTTCATCAAGCAAGCTATTTCGCTGTTCCTTACTTCTTTTTAGAGTCTCTCTCTCTCTCTCTCTCTCTCTCTCTCTCTCTCTCTCTCTCTCTCTCTCCCAGGTCAAGAAACAAGTCTAAGCTTTAGCTATGTGGTTTTCTCATACATCCTACAGGCAAGACCTCGCGAACATTGTTAGAAGAAGAGGTTATAAACTTCTCAGGGAGCTTCTCTCAACCTCCAAGCTACCAAACTATGATGAGTGCAGTGAAGAGGATGGCCTTGTTGAAAAAATTGGAGATGAATCGTCAGGTCAGCAGTTCTTGGGCCCTGTGTATTTTAGGTTCTAACAACATAGCCCATTTTGGATTCTTCTGATTGACAACCTCCTAATTTAAAAGGTCAGGATGGAAAGATGATAGACGTGGCTCATGATGTTTCCTTACCAAGTGAAGCTTCTGCAGTAGCTGACTACACGAATGATGCAAACAATGACAGTATGCTGAAGTCTGATGAGCAAAATTCTAGTGTTCAAGAACCTTCACGCTATTCCTCCTTGGAAGAAAAGGTGGCCAATTTTATTCAGAATGGAGAACTGGATAGTGTAGAGGGTAAGCGATGCTACTCGAGGGTACTTACCTTTAATTGCATGAGAAGTGCGCTTGCTACATTTGTTCGATAGAAACAAGATATGATCCATCCATACCGCACTCTCTTCTTCTCATGTTTATCTTGGTTCACTGACTTGGTATTCAGGTAGTTTATGGTGATAATACTTGGTACTCCAATTCATCCATGTTGCACGTTTCCCTTTTGGTCCCAAACCATTTGAAGTCTCCTGAATTCAAAATTAGTAGCAACTCAATCTAAGCTTTGATCTTCTTTTGTGTGTGTCGATAAGGTGAAGATTTTATTGATGTACAGGAGCAAAACTCCAGTATACAAGAGTTTACAAAAAGTACGGAATCTTACACAAATTTGTTTATCAAAACAAGCATCCCATTACCTATACATACAGGAACCTCGTGGGTGCTCCAGAAGTTTGAGTAAAAACAATAAACATGTCTCATTTGTAAGATGTTGCAGTAAACCAGGTCAAAGAAAAAAAAAATCGAACTTCTGGGTAGGAAATTCTTACAAAAAGAATTTTCTAAAACAAGAGAATTTCTCTACCCCAAACACTCTCCTATTTCTTTCCCTCCAATCCAAAATATGACGTAACATTCTTCTTCTCTATCAAACCAACTTTATACAAAAATACTGACAATCATCGAATCAACTACACATCGTCTAAATATTAGTTTTTTAAATTTTCTTCTACTCCTATGAACTTAAATTTTGAATAAAACTAACTCCTTAAAAGTAGATAAGGGGTCATCTCTATTTTCATGCTCTGTGTTCTTATTTGATTTTCTGCAAAATGCTACCTTTGAGACGTACACCTTCCTCTTGCCTAATGTAAAAACATTGACCTATATGTAGTTTTGATGCATATTGTATCTGCTGTTCAGTCTTTCCTCAAATGCTAGTTTCCAGCTACTAATCTTTGTCTAAGGCCTTGGCGAACTGTTAAGTTCTGGTTATGTGAGCTTGAGTAAATCTTTCTGATTCTGAAATGAGATCCAAATTTTTTGAGTAAATCTAACTGTTCTGCTTTTGCTTGATTTTACAGATATTGGCTTCGAAATTTTCAATGAAAGAGGTTCCGAGCAAGTGGAGGGATCTGTTGTAGGACAGAATGTTGTAAAAACAGAATCTACTACTCCTAACGGTAATGGCGCTGAGACATTTAATGGAAATTCCATGCCACGATCAACCCAACATGTTGAACATCCTAGTGGGCAGAGTTTCCGAATAAGGTATGCATTTCTTGCAATATTTATGCTTTCATCTGAACTTATAGGTTCTTCATTTTTCCACTGGGCTTTCAGTAAACTATCTTTGGGTTCTTCATCGGCCTCGCTTCATCTTTTGCAATTGTATTTACCTATATACGGTCATGCTTTAGTAGTTTAGTTAAACTTGATGCAGGATGAAATTGAAATAGTTTGACGTATATATAAAACCATTGAAATTCTTTTTGTGTCTCATTCTTGCTGATTCAATAAATCCACTTTGATGTTTTTTTTACACAATCAACTAGCCGATAAGTTTTTCTTCTTTGAAAGTTCAGATTTCCTGTTCACTTCTTGTCTATGAATTGTTTGTTTTTTACTAGCTCTACGATTACACTTCAGGCATTGAACTGAAGACGTTTCTTGTTCTCTATCTGAATGCACCCTGATTTTTGTAGGAATAATAGCCTTTCAACTGAAGAGTTAACCATGGCTGAAGGGAGAAATAGTGCTGATGTTGAGGTGCTAAAATTCTTCATTCTGATTGTTTGTTTTTTATTTGATGCCACTTTTGACTTGGAATTTCCTTTGCTTTCACATTTTATCTGTTAGCCCCAAAAAGTGGAGAATCAAGCTGAAATTAATCGTCTCAAGTTCATGCTGGTACCACTCTTTGGATAATTTACTGTTGAAATTTTACTTACCTCACTTGGCTTCAATTTTCCTTTTGTACGAAGCTATTTTATATATATTCTTTTCCATAAGAATAACCTATGCCTTAAATGGTTTTTTGCTGTTCTTAGCATCAGAAGGAGCTGGAGTTAACTCAATTGAAGCAGCAGATTGAAGAGGAAAAGGTATAATGTTTCTTCTTACTCCTCCCATTCTTCAGGGAAAAGAAAATTTGATCAAATTACAAGGACCTAACTGCCATCTTGTCTTGTGGTAGTAGAGAGTAGTGAATATTTTCTTTTTACATGGCAGAGGGAAAAGCTCAGATCCTCAGAGAAATATTTTGACATGAACGAAAGGCTTTTTACCTTCTCAAAAAAAAGGCTGCACGCTGACATGTTGCCACTCTGTTGCCATCCTTCTGTGTTATCTTAACTCTTAACTATTGGCTTATGAACTTGTAATATATTACTCCCCCCATTTCAATCTGTGTCTTAATTCCCTTTTAGTCTATTTAAAAAAGAAAGCCTCTTTCTGTATTTGGTAACTCTTCAAACCCAACAGCCTACATGGCATGTTTAATGCCAAAAGATTCAAAGGGCATTTTGGTATATTACACACATCTTTACTTTAGGACCACAAGATTCAAAAGTCTTTTTTATTTTCTTAAACTCCGTGCAGTCAAACTAAGACACTTACAATTGAAGTGGAGGGAGTAAGTGTTACTTGACATTTTGATATCACCATTTTAAACACAATTAACACAGTTGGGTAAGGGAAACTTGACTGTTCTTTCTTGTAAACTTGTTGTGGCATTGGAATTGAACTAGTTTATATTTTTGGTGTTTCATATCAGCTATTCGGATCATATGTTACTGTGATAGTTGGAATTTTACCATAAAGTTGATACTTGTTAACATGTTACTCAAAAGAACAATCTGTTCTTCTTGAAGTGGAAAAGTGTAATTTTATTATATTTCTACTTTCAGCGCTTACTGTCTATTTTGCAAATCAAAGCCGAAAGAGAAATCAGCGAAGCACAAAAACTAATTTCGGAAAAAGATGCAGAGCTAGATGCCACTGAAGATAGCCTTTCAGGACTGAAGGAGGTATTCAAGCAACTTCTTGTTTTAACATTTCCTGAATTTTCAAGATTCTTGGCCACTGCAACCAATATATTAAGAAAAAATAATTGGGAAATTGATCCGACTTCTGTGGGAAATGACGTTTTATCAACTTCACAAGGTATATCTACCAGATGTTTTACAAAGATGTTGGCTTCATTTGAGGTAATATCATTTAAATAAGGAAAAACATGATTCTGTTACTGGAGCGTGACTTAGACTGATCAGGGTAGTATATTTGACACAACAGAAGTAGCAAGAATATTATGATGAAAGAATTACAAGAAAATACACATGACTTCACACCATAACAAAAAACGGCCCATGTTTTTAAGTTTTACCCCATCTAGCCCACATTGTACATATTTTGAAAGCACCAGCAAATTCAAAATTTGTGTTCTTACAACCATTGCTTCTAAAGCTATGGAGATAAATCTGTGTTCTCACAACCATTGCTTTCACTTTCTCTTCTTCTCACATCTTCTACATATGCTTCAAGGGGCCGCGTATTTTCTGCTTCTCCTCTTGTGTCACCTGGTTGCAATAGACAAGGGAGGTTGCTTTGATGGTAAACAACCTCCACTTCCAACCAAGAGGTTGTGAGTTCGAGTCTCTCCAAGAGCAAGGTGGGAAGTTCTTGGAGAGAAGGATGCTAGAGGTCTATTTGGAAACAGCCTCTCTACCCCAGGGTAGGGGTAAAGTCTGCGTACACACTACCCTCTGCAGACCCCACTAAGTGGGATTATACTGGGTGGTTGTTGTTGTTGTTGTTGGAAGAGTAGAAGTCCACCAATGAAGACCATTCAAAGCTTTGCTTTCGAAAATGGGGTTTTTTGAATTTGTTAGTTGTTTGGATTGGGTTTTGTTCCAATTGATTGAAAATATCAAAAGGAGTTCGAAATTTAAATTTGAAGTGATTTGGAGTAGATTTGAGCAAGATTTGAGTTAAATTTCAGAAAAAACGCAAGGAAGAAGACTATGTCAGGTTTTTTGTATAATTATGTATAATCTTGTATAATAGTGTATATGAGTGTAGAAACACACCTTATACACTATTACACACCTTTATACAAGCGTCTATTGACAAACTTCTTCCACGATTTTCAGTTGCAATTCTTGTTCAAAACCAGTCCAAATCTCCATTAAATGACTTTAAATTTTATATACAACCTCCTTATACTATTTCTAACAAATCTAAATAACACCCTATCCAAATTTCTCACAAAATCAAATTCGGAATTTAAACCCACATATTTAAGCTTGTTAAAAATTTAATTTTCACCACCCAAATGAATTTGGTTTGTTGAGCTAATATTTGAGTCGCAGTTACTGATTCGAAAATTAACTTAAAAGTTTGAGGAATCTTTTTTAAAAATTAAATAGTAATTTTGAGAACTTATTAGAGTTGGATGTTGAATCTTAGCCTATTATTTTTGGGCTAGTTAGTTGTAAATTGAAATATGGGCTATAAAATTGAAAAGTAGGGAGCCCAGTTGTTTTAATGTGAAACTTTCCCTATTATGATCTTAGAATTAAGAAAATCAAGAGTTAGGTAAATTCTCTACTTTTTGGTATACTTCCTGTATACGGGAGTTCTCTCCCTTTTGATTAATACTATAATTTACCTTATCAAAAAAAATAAAAAAATCAAGAGTTAGTTTAAGTGAAAAAAAGGAAACAAGTGTTTAAATGGTTGAAAACCCTAATTGAAACTAACTACAATTCTGTCCTTGTCAAAACAAAAATGAACAGACAATAAATAGAATAGAAGAGTTCCTAATTAAGTTGGAAACTAGAGCCCCACCTCCAACTTTCCATTCCACACCAGTGTATCTGGCTTTCTACTAGTGGAGCTATGGCTTATATATATAGCACATTTATCTATGTTAGGTTGAACTTCAATATTTGGTGGATGGGGAAAGTGTTGAGGTGGCTGGCAGCTTCAACGGGTGGCATCATAAAATAAAAATGGATCTAGAAGCATCATCCACTATCATCGATCCCATTGACCAAGAAGCATCATCAGATATCGTAGATCCCATTGGCACGAGGTTTTTGTTCTGTCTATTTCTTCATCTTTTGGGTGATTTTTAATGTATCAGTGTCAATTGTGTTTAGTTTCTGACTTAAATGTGGTATTGTATTTAGATTATTTCTTATTCATCTCTTCCTATCATTTTGGGACTATTTATGCACATTGCTTAGTCTGGCAAATGGTCTTAGGATATCCATGGCTGAAAGTTTGTGAACTTGATTATTGTCGTCTAGTATTTGCAAAGAGCTCTAAGGTAAAAGCTTTTGTAAAGAATGAGAAAAGAAGAGATGTTGCGAATGATTTCCTCACCTATTCCCTCAATCATTTTGGGTTTTTGAAAGTGTCTCATGTCAAACATCATGTCTTTTCCTTTCTCCTTTGGTCGGGTAGGTGCCAAATTTCAAACATCTTATAATGCCATTCTTCCCCCTCCCCACGTGGGCCTAAACCCACAATTCTACTAGGTGCTAATATGTAGTTGACTTCTCGGGTCCTGATAGACTTGAATTATTCTTATTTTTTGACTCATCATGTATTTTCATTGTTTACAATAGTCATTTAAATATGTAAATGCAGAAGCAGAAATCTATGGACAATCCTCTGAGTGATATTTATTCTGTTTAGATATTGAGCTCAACATCCTTTTTGACAGTTACTGTAATATTATGAATAACATGATAAAAGATTCTTTCCAGGAAACCTCGGCTTTGGAAAACCGTGTTATGGCTGTATCCAGGGATATATGAGGTACATTATCTACAGACTACAATATGCTAGAGCAATAAAGCTGAATGTGCAGTCACTTCTCTCCTCATAGTTGTACTTGGAATAAGTAACTTGGCTTTGGCTTGACATGCATTTGTTGTCTATAGACAATTCTATTAGGTGAATATTAGTTGATGTTAAGATCTTAAACGCTAAGCTCATTTGTTGGTATTCTTCGCTGAGTCATATTCATAACTTTGCAGTCATGAGGAGTACATGCAAGTGAGTTCGAGAATTGAGGTTGAGTAAAACTAATAACTACAATGGAGTTCTATTCATTGAATGTGTTGATAAAATAAACATTGTATTTTTCTTGCAGTAATAAATTAGATTTAGCACTTGTTTCTGTGGTATGAAGGGGAGCCTTGGAGCAACAGTAAAGTTGTCTCGTTGTGACCTATAGGTCACGGGCTTGCGCCGTGGAATCAACAACTGATGCTTGCATCAGGATAGGCTGTCTACATCACACCCCTTGGAGTGCGGCCCTTCCCCGGACCCTGCGTGAATGCAGGATGCTTCGTGCACCGGGCTGCCTTACTTGTTTATGTGGTATGCTTTTTGTCTTCAATATGCTCAATCCGTTGCTAGAAGAAAGAAAATGATGTTACTTCGTTAGATTTTACATAGTCAGTAAAATATATGAATATTCAGACTATTAAGGCGGAAGCAAAAATCAATCATTGGGTGTATCCAGTTTATTTTAAGGGGTCGTTTGGTAGGTTGCATTAGATAAAATAATGCATGCATTAGCTTTGTATATTAATAATACATTGTTTGGTAGACATTTTGAACCTATGCATTAGTTATGCAAGCATTAGTTATACATTCTATTTGGTATTACCCTATGCATAACTAATGCATAGAAAACAATGGTATTAGCAATGCAATGGGTTTTAATGCAAGCATTAGCTTAGTTAAAAACAAAATTGTCCTTCAACATTTATGCTTGATTAAAATATGCTAGTTATTATATTGATGGAAGTTTAAAATAATTCAAATAGTGAGAAATAAAATTATAGCCCTAGTAAATAAATAAATACTTAACATATTTCCTTTTTTATAAATAAATATTTAGTTCTATTTTACAATATAGGTAGACAAATTAAATAATTTTTTAAAAACTTTTTCATATAAAAATATTTCTCAACATATGTTTCATTTAGAAAGTTAAAGTGATGGACTGGTTTTGAGGGCATTTTTGTAAGCAAACAATTCTTTTAGAAATTGCACAATGCTTTAATACATCAAACCAAATAATGGATAAGAAATATGTCAGCATAACTAATGCAAGCATAACTAATACTAGCATTACTAATACACCCTATTCAGCATTATTCTTATGCACCCTATCAAACGACCCCTAAGTCTTAAAACAAAAAAGAGATCCAGGGGTGGTATGCTCCAGTTTGCAATGTTTGGAGTAGGATCATAGAATCTATTTTCAGCTTGTCATTGAGGTGAAATCCACAAAGCAAAATAATATTGAAATTCTCCTTTCCCACCCCTCGGCAGACACACGCACACAGAGAAAAGGGCAATGAAAATGAACGAAGGAAACAGAAGGAAGAAAATAGATTGACTTCTCAGAGTTAATTGAAGGGGTCCACTAAATTCTTTGCCCATTTCTGATATCATAGTTCTATGATGAACGTGCAGCAATTGTGCTCCCCATTTTGATTTTAGGAAGAAGTTTGCTGCTGTATAGTTCTGGAATGAATCTTCCCATTTTACTCCAGAAAAATGAAATTTCATTACTCTTTAACTTTTAATAGTCTGACAATCTCACTTAAGCAAGGACTTCTTAATTTAAAACGTCCTACAACGAGCAAGCAAGTTTAGTTCTCTGATAAGTTTCTACCATTATTATTCAATTACAGCTTTTCTGTTCTCCTGCTTTAAAGATGTTTGATTGTGTCTTACATTGTTCAACGACTTTATTTCCTACAGATAAAATTCGTTGTTGATGGCCACTGGACAACTGATCCCCAAATGGAGTCTGTTACAAGAGGTGCAATACACAATAATGTACTACGAGTTGATAGATGAGTTGGGCTATTGCATTCCACATGCACATACAGAGGTACCTCAGTAATCTCTTCCAACAATTATGCGTTAGAGCCAGCATTCTGTTTCTTTGTTTACAACACTCCCCTCTCACCCGATCGGAATGCCACTGTCTTTATTTCTATCTTTGGAAATTGGTGGTATTATGGTTGTCAGTATATTTGTGGCATCTTATTGCTTGGCTTCTGAAGATCATAACAAAAAGAACTTGGTTATAGGCCTAACATTTCTTAGATGGGCGTTGTTTGCTAACTGTTTGATCAGGGATAGTAGCCCTTTGATAATTGTGTGAGTTGCTTGAGTTTGTTAAATAACTTTGTCAAGCCATCATTCTCCATAGTAGATTATTCTTTACACGCTAATTGTATCAGTTGAGGTTGATATTGGGCTTAATTTCTCCCTATTTTTTTTTTGTCTAATGATGCTGTTAAAGCTACTGTTTTATTTTGAAGTTATACTTGGTATCGTAATTGCCTGACCAATTTACAGAACCTTTTCGCTTATTCAGATGACTTTAACATTCCAACACCTATTTCCTTTTCGCTTTCTTATTCAGATGACTTCAACATTCCAACACCTATTTCAGTAACCAAATACTTCTCATCATTGTCATTACTGGTGTTCTTTTGAATGACAAGTCAGATTTAACGTTACACTTGACCATATATTATTGCTGTTAATTTTGTACACCTTGCAGCTCATTATTAAACCAATTTCTTGACCCCAATTTGCTGTAACATATTTGTTTTAGCAAGTATAATTAGAAAAACTAGTGATAGTTAAGATATATTTGCTCTTTTAATCTGTAAAAGCGTTGATTTTCTTAAACATCTTCCTAATATTTGCTAACTACTTATTCCCCCACCATCCCCCAAAACGTGCCTCGCCTCTTCTCTGCAGACTATGCACATCAGTAGGAAGGATCTAGTCTGAAGTCCATTCTTGAAGATCATGCTGTCCAATTGCGTTTATGTTGTTGCAATCAATGAGCTGATCCATGCAACTTGAAGGTCACGTGCTTCTTCTACTTGTAATCGCCTCATCTCATTTGAAGACCGGGGAAGTGGACTACTTGCACAACATAACAGCTGCTGTTGAAAATGTCTAGTTTTAGCCTGTAGAGTTCTAATAAAGCAATGTTGTTTTGTATTTTCTATTTCCTGATCATTAGAAGCAATCTGTCGAGGGAAAATCACTTGAGCTTTTTTGCCTTTGCTCCTTCTTTCTGGAGCAGGTTTGAATACAGAAAGAGATTCGCATATATAGTTGAGCCAGGGCAGCAAAATATAGCCCAGTAGGATGATTTTTTATATAGTTGCCTGCGGATGGAACTGTATAGGACATTTACCTACAAATTATTACCATTGATTGTACAGTAGTGAAATCTTTGCATGCCTCCTATGTTCACATTTTTTTTTGTTAAATTTAAACATAAACAGAACTAGTATTCAGCAATTTTTTTGTTCAAAGATTGCAAAACCTAATTGTGCCTGGGATCTCCACATTAAACTAGAAGGCAGGAAGCAAACATGAATGAGGGACAAGTAGCTAAAAAATGGCATGTATGACCAAGATTATGGTCAGAAGCGTATATAATAGTTGGGAAAATGGCACCGTATAGCCGCTCTCAAAATAATAACTGAAAAATGTATATTTTTTGTATATGTATATATTATGTATGTTATATATAAAAATTATACAAATTTTATATATCTTTTCAGCTATTGAATATAAGTAGTTTTTGGCGCGGATTAAAAGTAAAAAAAGAAAAGCCCTATATAGCTCAATTCTAGAGTCTAATTCCAAAATTTTCGCCATGAACCATCATCTTGTGTTATATGTCGTCTTTTCTTTTCTTTCTTTTAGAGTTAATTTTTGGAGCATTAACTGTCAGTCACATACGATAATATTTGATTAAGAAGTTAATCATTCTTTTAACTCGGTTCACTGTCAGATAGCTCCATTGAGGAAAGTAAAACACTCTTTATGAGAAGTTTTTCATTTTCTATATTGGCTGTCGCCAGAGCGACTTGAAACATTTTTCATTCTCAGCGCTCAAGCTTGAGACAACCAATTACATGAAGGAATCTCAATCATGTCATAACATTCATTGATGATGCTTAATCCTTTTTTGGGTGGAGCGTTAATTTCGTCTTTTTTATGGTCACTCAAAATTTTAGACGATTTGGAGCCGGTAGCTCGAATTCATGCAAATAGTGTTGACTATAACACACGAAAATTGGGAAATCGTGCTGAATTTCTGTTGTGGTCCTAAAACGCTAAAAAAATTAGCAATGGTCATGGCGAAGTGATGACTATGGTTCATTAGGTCATTTTTTATGGTCCCACAAAATTTTAGACGCTTCGGAGCCGGTCGCCCGAATTCATGCTGAATTCCTATTTTATGGCCCTAAAATGTCAAAAAATAAGGAATGGTCATAGCGAGCTATGACTACTATTCATTATGCCATTTCTATGGTCCTACAAAATTTTAAGGGATCCAGAGTCGGCCACTTGAATTTATGTAGATGAGGTGGACTATAACACACGAAAATTTGAAAATCGTGATGAATTCCTAGTTTACGACCCTAAACGCCAAAACACGAGTCATTTTTGTTGTCCCGCAAAATTTTAGGGTTTCGGAGTTGATCGCCTGAATTTTGTTGTCCATCTGCATACGAAAATTTGGAAATGATGTTGAATTCCTGTTTTATGGCCCTGTAATGCCAACAAACGAAGAACGGTCACGATTAAGCAATAACTATTGTTCATTAGGTCATTATTTATGGTTCCGCAAAATTTTAGGGGATTCGATGTTATACAGATGTCGTGAATAATAGCACATGAAAATTGTGTTGAATTCTTATTTTACGGCCCTAAAAGGCCAAAAAGAGTCATTTTGTTAGTCCCACAAAAAATTAGGCGATTTGGAGTCGGTTGCCCGAATTCATGTAGATGGCGTGGACTATAATACACGAAAATTAAGAAATCGTGTTGAATTCTAATTTTATGGCCCTAAAATACCAAAAATGAGGAACGGTCATGGCGAAGCGATGACTATTGTTCATTAGGTCATTTTTATGGTATCGCAAAGGCGATTCGGATTCGGTCGCCCAAATTCATGCAGATGGCGTGGACTATAGCACATAAAAATTTAGAAATCGGGCTGAATTCCTGTTTTATGGCCCCAAAATGCCAAAAAAATAAGGAACAGTCGTAGCAAAGCGATGATATTATTTATTAGGTCATTTTGTATGGTCCCATAAAATTTTAGGGGGCCCGGAGCAGGTCTCCCGAGTTTATACAGATGGCGTGGACTATAGCACACAAAATTTATGAAATCATGATGAATTCCTATTTTACGGTCCTAAAATGCCAAAACACGAGTTATTTTTTGTGGTCTCACAAAATTTTAGGAGATTTGGAGCCGATCGCCCGAATTCATGCAAATGTCAAAGATTGTAGCGTATGAAAATTTGGAAATAACGTTGAATTCCTGTTATATGACCCGATAATGCCAAAAAACGAGGAACGATCATGGCTAAACGATAACTATAGTTCATTACGTCATTATTTATGGTCCCGTAAAATTTTAGGGGATTCAGAGCCGGTCGCTGGAATTCATTCACATGGCGTGGTCTATAGCACATGTAAATTTGGAAATCGGACTACATTCCTATTTTATGGCCCTAAAATGCCAAAAGAGTAATTTTTATGGTCTCGTAAAATTTTAAGGGATTTAGAGTCAGTCATCCGAATTCATGCCGATGGCGTAGACTATAGCACACTAAAACTTGAAAATCGTGCTAAATTCCTGTTTTATGTCCCTAAAACGCCAAAAAACGAGGAATGGTCATGACGATGCGATGATGATTGTTTATTAGGTTATTCTTTATGGTCCCACATTACTTTAGGTGATTCAGAGTCGGTCGTTCGAATTCATGCAGATTGCATGGACTATACCACATGAAAATTGGAAAACCGTCCTAAATTCTTGTTTTATAGCCTAAAACGCTAAAAACGAGGAACGATCATGGCCAAGCGGTGACTATTGTTCATTAGGTTATTTTTATGGTTCCGCAAATTTTTACGCAATTAAGAGTCGATCGCCCGAATTCATGCAGATGGTGTGGTCCATAGCACATGAAAATTTAGAAATCCTGCTGAATTCCTGTTTTATGGCCCTAAAATGAGAAAAAATAAGGAATAATGATGGAGAAACAATGACTATTGTTCATTAGGTCATATTTTATGGTCCCGTAAAATTTTAGGAGATTCGGAGTCAGTTGCCCGAATTTATTCAGATGTTGTGGACATAACACAAAAAAAATTGGGAATCGTGTTGAATTCTAGTTTTATGGCCCTAAAATGCTAAAAACGAGGAACGATCATGGCGAAGCGGTGACTATTGCTCATTAGGTCATTATTATGGTACCACAAAATTTTACGCAATTAAGAGCTGGACGCCCGAATTCATGCATATGGCGTGATTTATAGCACACGAAAATTTGGAAATCATATTGAATTGCTATTTTATGGCCCTAAAACACCAAAAAACGAGGATTGGTCATAGCAAAGCAATGATTATTGTTCATTAGGTTATTTTGATGGTCCATAAAATTTTATCCAATTCGGAACCGGTCGCCGAATTAATACAGATGTGTGGACTATAACACACGAATATTTGGAAATCGTGTTGAATTCCTGTTTTATGGCCCTAAAACGCCAAAAAAAAGAGGAATGGTCATGGCGATGGGATTATCATTGTTCATTAGGTCATTTTTATGGTCCCGTAAAATTTTAGGAAAATCAGAGTCGGTCGCCTGAATTCATGCAAATGGTATGGTCTATTCACACAAAAATTTGAAAAACGTGTTGAATTTATATTTCATGGCCCTAAAATACCAAAAAACAAGGAACGTTCAAGAAGAAGCGATGAATATTATTTAGTTGGTCATTTTTAATAATCCCGCACATTTTAGGGGATTCATACGTTACGAAAATTTAAAAATCGTGCTAAATTCCTGTTTCATGGTCCTAAAACGCCAAAAAATAAGGAACGGTCATGGAGAAGAGATGACTATTATTCGTTATGTCATATTTTATTGGTCCCGCATAATTTAAGGCGATTTAAAGCCAGTCGCCCGAATTCAAGCAGATGGCATGGACAATAGTACACGAAAATTTGGAAATCGTGCTGAATTCATGTTTTATGGCCCTAAAATACAAAAAAATGTGGAACAGTCATAACGAAGCTATTACTACTATTCATTAGTCATTTTTGGTGGTCCCATTTGTCACACCTCCTTTTTCACCCGCGCCGCCTCAAAGGGGTGCGGAGGGGAGTTTTTCCAATTAAAGGACAATCGAAATGAGATTTTATTTAAAGATTCAGAGTCTCCACTTGGGAGATTTATGGTGTCCCAAGTCACCGATTGAATCCCGAATTGAGGAAAATATTGACTCTGTTTAACAGTCTGCGCACCAGAAATTCGGATAAGGAATTCTGTTAACCCGGGAGAAGGTGTTAGGCATTCCCGAGTTCCGTGGTTCTAGCACGGTTGCTCAACTGTCATATTCGGCTTGATTATCTGATTTAATACATGTTGAACATATGTGCGAATTTTAACTGTTTACCGCTTTTTATTATTTATTCAAAGAATTGCAACGTCGTGAGAATGCATCTCGAATTGCGCCACATAAATGTACCCGCAATTTTTGATACGTTCCAACTTCGTTGAGATTTGGATTTGGGTCACATAAGTGTGCACCCGAGTTTAGGAAAATAACATTATTAAATACGCGCCTAAAGACTAACACGTTGTTATTTTGAGAAAAGCCGTAAAGTTCGCTATGCGGCCTGTCTCGAAATCTAAGTATTCGAAATAACTATCAGTTGAGGGCCCCGCAATTTGTGTATTCTTGTTTGTCGAGGCTCGTCTCATTCATTATTTTTAAAAGGAATTTGCAACGTCATGGACATGCATCTCGAACCACGTCACAATCAATGTACCCGTGATTAGCGGCACATTTCGACTCCGTTGAGATTTTGATTTGGGTCACATAAATGTGCACCCGAATTTAAGGAGGTAAATTATTAAATTACGCGCCTAAAGAGACTAACATGCGGTTGTTTTGGGAAAAGGCCGCGAAGTTCGCTAAGCGGCCGATCCCGAGTTCTAAGTAATTAATACGTACATTTGTGAGGGCCCCACAATCTGTGCGTTTTGCTAGGCGAGGCTCATCTCATTTATTTTCAAAGGACAATCCTAAAGTGACTACATTTTTTTATTAAGTTTCTCTCTAAAAGAAAATCTCCAAATTAATTACATGCTTAAAAAAGGGACGTGACTTATTAGTTATTAGTCTAAGACAAATGCAAATGGGAAATT